GAGTTTGCGCGCTCTACTTCTGCGGGCCGGGGGTTTCACTGTTTCGGATCCTGGGCGCGGACCTAGCACCGCTCCTCTGTCCATGCGGAGGGGGCGTCCCACATAGCACAACTAGAAGGACCTGCACCTAGAATATACAACTATGTACTGGGGGGCTTTGGAGAGAAGAAGGGAAAAAAAAAGATTGACAACAGATGTTAGCTCAGGTGCCAATCTTTAAAAAAAAAAAAAAAAAAAAAATATATATATATATATATATATATATATATAAAAGTTTAAGTGTTCAGGAGTCAAAAACACCAGTAAAAAATATGTGGACATATGCATAAGAAGAGATGGTAGATTCATAGGTGAAAGTTATAATGAGCTGAGAAGTATAATGATATGAGATTTAAAACATTTTTTTCTTCTATTTATTCTCTAAAATGTTAGCAATGAACCTGTATTGCTTCTGTGCAAGAATAAAGGTTTGCTCTTTTTAGGGAGATGTTGCCAGGCAGTCAGTGGAGAGGCCAGACTGTCAAGGAGAGGTCGGTCATAAAGTGCCCTGGGAGCTTCCGGGGGTGGGGCAGAGAGCAGAGGGTGAAAGGGAAAGTAGGACAGGACACACCCTTACTTAGGAAAGGCTCCTATGTTGCAGGGTGCTGGGCGGATTCTGGGAGGGTAGCTGTCAGGTGGTAGCCATCAGGAAGTGCTCCACAGGGAGATCTTGAACTTAGGCCTTAAAGGATGTCCGTGATTTTAGAGCTAGAAAGAGAAAGACTTTCCCAGTGGTAGATGTGAGATAAGCCAAGAGACAGAAAGTTGCAGGGCACATTGGGGCAATTTGAATAGGTCCACTTTGCTACAGGAGATGGATCAAGTATGAAATTAGTCATTTGAATGATAGGTTAAGGACAGACCACTTAGGGACCATGACTCCCTGGCCAAGTTTAGTGTTAGGACTTTATCTGCAGGTAATGGAGAATTATGACAGGATGTTGGCAAGGGAAATACATGGTCAAAGTTGGATTTGGGGGAGGTTAATCTTGTAAGTTAGGCTGAAGTGGGAGTTTAGGGACCATGAGTGGCTGTCACAGGGATCCAAGGGGGCCTGGATAAGAGTAGTGTTAATGGGAATTGGTTGGAAGGCAATGCTTCTGAGTTATTATAAAAGGAAAATCGACAGTGTTTTATAGTGTTTGGATATGGAGGGCACTGGACTTAGAGAGTCCAAGATGACTGAGGATTTAACTCGAGATGCCTTGAGAGGTGGTACTGTCAACAGAAATTGGAACAGGAAGCCAGTGTTGAAGGTAAATTGAAGGGTTGATTTGAGAAACGGAATTTGAAGCCGTGATTGGCAGCTGGGTTTAGGTGATTTAGGGAAGATGGATGGGTTTTGGCTGAAAGTAGAGATGCAAGATATCTACATAGAAGTAGGTGGTGGTTGGTCAGAGGTGGGGAATGAACTCCTAAATTTGAACTTGGTGACAAAGGACCAGTTTTAGGGAACATTCACAATTAGAATTTATATATATAATTTTTCAAAATTCTCCTCCTTGCTCATAAAGCTCGACAAGGTAGTCATTCCTGGGGCTCTAGTGAGAGCTGGTCTACTGACTCAGCACTGTTCTAACCCAAGTGCTTTAACTCAGCAGTTCCTGAACTTGGCTCATCAGGTTAAGGGGTCCACGCATAGGCACTGAATCAGAATCTCCTGGGCTGGCAGTCCGTATTTTTAATAACCTTTCCAGGCCACTCTGATATGGATTCCTTTTGGGCAACCAGTGCCTTAGCCAGTTTGTTCTACAGTCCTCCCCCCTGTGCCTTCTGTCTCTCCTTGGGAGAGCAAGAGTTCTTACTTTTCGTGTGTTGGTTTCAACTTCTTTTGCCTTTATATCTGATGGACAGTCATTGATAGGCAGTGCTTGAAGCTG